GATGGTGTACGATCATTGATAATGTTACTCTACTACAGCAAATCTACCAACTAAAATCAATGATATACATGCATTTCAAAATCCGCAACCACTACAGTTTAAAGAGGGCTTTTTAAAGACTTAGCTGGAGACATATTCAAGTTATAACACATCCTCTGATACATAAAAGTAATATTTTAAAGAACTAACCCGACACAGTCTTTAAAAGACGTCCAACTTCAGGATGCTTTGATTCCAAGTCGTACGGGTACTGGTTCTCATTGTTACGTATCATTTTATTTGCTCCTTTATCAAGCAGCATCTCTACTATGACATGATGTCCCTTTAATATGTATCAAGTAGGAGGCCAGTACCATCTCTCAATACAATGAACATCAATGATGTACCTATTAACATAAAATACTATTTATCATCACATGCATTTGTGATCACTAAAACTGCCAACTGGTACATGTATTTGAACACTAAGTTTACTTGGGCCTTCCTTATACCTTCAAAAGTTCAAATAATGGTTGAATTGTAGTAAAGACATAGTTCGTTTTTTTCTGTATATCATTTCCAGGTACCCTCTACCTATAGTACACTCATACTTTAACTATCTAAATGTACACACCAGCTGGGTATGTTACACATACAGAATCTACAAAAGTGTTATTTTTTGACCAAAAACATCCATGAATACTATTATTGATTTATGTTCCTGTTATAACCAATGATCATGCGATCATGTTTAGTTAGGGTGGCTGTTCTGGTTAAGTATATACCACAATAAAAATGGCAACAAGAGGAACATCAGAAGATTTCATGAATGTCTGTGACAGAGAACTAGGTAAAGTGTCTATATTCTAATAATGTAATGTGATAGGTTTCTCTCATTGTTAGGTATTGATGACTTTTATGATGTGTATGATGAAATCAAGCCACTTTCTGCTCATTGGAAGCAAATTGCCATTTCGTTTCGTCTCAGAATAAACACTATCAATACCATAGAAGCTAAACACAATGGAAAAGTTCTCAATTGTCTTCAAGAGGTCATCGAGTGTTGGCTCAAGAAAGATTATGATTATGAGCGTCATTGTGTCCCTTGCTGGAGGAAGGTGTGTGTGGCTGTCAAAGAAGGAGCAGATGACTCAGCATTAGCTGATGAAATAGCTCAGGAACATCCAGCTACAGGAGGAGCTACCCCTCATACTAGAACTACTCGTGCTAGAGGAGCTGGTAAATGATTATATAATTTTTCTCACAATTTTAGCTGTACATACTTGGCCTGAAACTTAAAATTTTGAAATTTGAAAGCATCCTTTTCCAAAAATTTGTAATTAAATTCCCTATAAGTACATGTGATTGAATGAAACACAGAAAATTTCACAAGTATAGTAAACTGTATAATCATTTTTAGGTTCTACAGCCAGTATTTCAACTCCTTCTATCTACGTTCCTCAAACCATAACCGACTTTGAGCTTCACAGAGAGTTATTTGAAATACAGGAGCAATTTGCTGAAGCGGTTCAACATACAATAAAATACTATTCACAAAAGGGATATAAGGTGCCAGAATTTATTGATTACATCACAGCACGTATGGTCACTTTACTTGCCCCAATGAGATTACTCCAGATAAAGCACAGGCAGTTAGAAAAGAGTTCAAGGAGATAACAACTATAAGAGAATTATTTGATTTACTGCAAGACAAGTACACATCGTGGTTCAAGCACGAGCCAATATCAAAGCTTGTTTATGAAAAGGACGTCAACGAAAATCCGTATGAAGATGAGGATGATCCACTAGATTACATGCAAGATGAATTCATTGATCCCGACTATATAGAAAAAGCAGTACGTTACTGGTCTCGGTATCAAAGCCGTTTATATGAATACTTTGAAAAGTGCATTACAGTAGCTGATCCTGCTTCATATGGAATAACTGATGCTCCTTCTGGTAAACAAATAATGGTAGTTAAAGTTGATCGAGGTGACTACAATCAGAATGACGTCTACTTCTTACGCAGAGCAATACCACCACATCTTGACAAACCTAATTTGAAGCTCTACCTTTGCCAAGTTCTTTCCAATTAGATAGTCACTTTAATTTTTGTAATTGATAAATTTTCCATTTGGTACATGTACACATTGCTAGCAATAAGTAGTCAGTATTGTTACATATACTTTGTCATTCTATGATACATTACTTTATAATTTTATTCTGACCTTTCTTGCTCACCTCTGCTGTATTAGCCATTACTCTACTCTAGTCTAAACTAGAGCTTGAGCATGTAGACACAAAACACAAAGACAGGTCTGCTTATGGTTTCTTTTGTTCTGGATCATTTGTATAGGAAAAGGGCTGGCCAACAAAAATGGGGCTTCCTTTTTTGCTATGAATATTATTTTAATTATTTGGAATAACTAGATTTAGATAGCTAAAATAACAAATAGAACAACTTTTATTGATTTGATTCTACAGCTACATTGCAACTTTACAGCAACAGTCAACCAGTATACAAAATAAGTTGAAGTCATTGTATGTCATTTCAATAAAATGCATCAAATGCTTCCATTGTATTTCTGCTGTTGTGTATCTTGATCAAGTAGGTTGACACAACCTTGGTGTATGTGTTGAATAAGCTAAATTAGAATCAATTGGAATATCCTTCAATTTATTGGTTGGTATATCTATTACATTAAAATAGTGATGATCAATTAATGTGTGTGTCACTGACTCTTATTGGATTTCTTGTGACAGCAATAACTGATACTGAACGTAGTTAAAAATGTGATTATAAATGTGACAATAATAGTCACAACTACTGATGACACGATTGGAATAATATAGCTACACTCACCTATACATAAAATGTAGGATGCAATTATAAGTCATCTATAGTATGTAACTTACCATTACTGTTACTAGCAATGTTAGTGATAAGAACAGGAGTCACAGTTGCATCAACAAGATCAACAGGTGATGGCCAAATATGGCTGCAAAAGCTATGACTAATAGTACTTGTTACAGTAGCCCGATCACATGGCAACACTACAATAGATAATAAAACTGTAATCAAGTAGCTGACAAATATTATTATTAAACCTTGGATGACAATGAAAATCTTTTCACTTCTTGTAGATACAAACATATTAGAGACAATGCATTGATATTGTCCAGCATGTTCTTGTGCAAGAGGAGACATTGCGAGCTCAGAGTAAGTGGATTGTGTGTTGATTGTGACTTGAGGGTCACTATTTGAGTCAATTTGTGCATTGTTATGGACCCATTTCACACCAACAGAGTCATCATCATACGAACAATTAATGGAAACAGTGTCATTGCTTTGATAAACAGTAGTGTGAACTATTGTGTATCCTTTATCGGAAATAATACTGAAAGTAAAATATTTAGGACATAATAACTTACTTATTGGCTGTACATAAACAGTAACTGTAGTTTCTCTTTTAATACCTGGTAAATCAATGTGTGTTGTTCTACAAGTGTAATTACCACTAGCTGCTCTGTCAATATTTATTAAAGTTAAGTTTAAAGGAGGATTATTAATGATAGGCGTTAGCTCAATACCATCACTATCATCAAGAAGAGCACATGCACTCTTTCTATCATTAATCCATACAAAACGTGGCATACCAGTATTACCAGGATCAGAACATGTTAATGTTAAATTAGATCCTTCAGTGATATTAACAGTGCCATCAGGAGATACTACTGGGTCCAGAAAGACTATTTTGGAATAATAATAAAAACATATAGACAAAATATGCTTAGCTCACCAAAATCTCCAAAAGTGATGATGTTTTGTTGGCCAGCAGTTGATGATGAGCATGTTATAGTATCATCAACATTAACAAGATCATCAGGATACTCCAGGCTCATGAACATAGTATCAGAAGTACTTGATAGATTAACATTTCCATTAAAGTCTTCATCACTCAGTACTGCACTTTCCTTCATCCATACACCATCAGAAAAGGTCAAAAAGTTGCCTTGATTAGTAAAGAATCTGCAAGCAAGACATAATGGTTCTGTCAATGGAACATGAATGGTTCTATCATTAACAATAAAAACAGAGATGACATCAGGAGGACATTGAGCCACAGCAAAACCTATTAATGATGAAGAAAATAATTTGCATTGGAAAATGTAGTTCTCACCTACAGACAAGGTTACCACCAAATGAGCAAGTATCATATTCATCTTTAACTTTGTCTGCTCAGGTTGATTCTATCAGACACTCCCACTAAATTACTCTTATAATAACAATTGCATCTATGCAACACATGATACCAAACATTCAAGTAAAAATTTGCTATTATAATTTGCCATTGTAAAAAATAAACACATAAACAGATTCAACACAATCTTTCATGCAATGTTTCACAAAAAACAATCTATACCTTTTTTACTTTTATTTAAATTTTTTTCATATTTAAGAATATTTAATTTTACTTTCATTATTCTTATTTTTTAAATTAAAAAAAATTATTTTATTTTTATTTTTTATTTTTTGCTTATTTTTTCTAATTTTTATTTTTAAATTTTATTTATTTTCATTTTATTTTATTTATTATTAATGGTAAGGGACTTCCTCCTTGCTAATGAGCTAATAAATTTAATTAAAATTGTTATTGGTGCAACTCGACATTTGAATACACAAAAATACATAATTACATTTCTACTAAATGGCACAAATTTACACTAATACTCTTGTTACAACACATTCTCTGATGCATAAAAGTAATAGCTTAAGAACTAACCAGACACAGTCTTTAAAAGACGTTCAACTTCAGGATGCTTTGATCCTAAGTCATACAGGAGCTGGTTCTCACTGTTACATATCATTTTATTTGCTCCTTTATCAAGCAACATCTCTACTATGACATGATGTCCCTTCCATGCTGAATTATGTAACTGAGTGTCACCTAAGGTCAGTGTATATTCCCGCCGTTTAAATTTCCAAATGTTTGAGATTTAGATATTATGGTAACTACTCAATAATCTAATGTCTAAACAATTGACATTTTGCAAGTTATGAGTAAAATAATAATTTCATAAATCCTAATAAATTTAATTTTTGTAATTAAAATGGTGATGCCAATAACTATATGTACAAAACATTTTGTAATTTTACAATTGGTGTTTTAGGAGTAAAATTCAGTTGCATAAATATTTAGAACATTGGATTTGTAATTTTAGTTCTGAATTTGCAAATTTCCAAAGTTACATATTGTCTCATTCAAGAAAGTCAAGCATAAAATAATATTTTCAAAAATCCTAAAAATTGAATGTT